CACTTTCGTGACCACGGGCCGAGAGTCTTTGCTAGATTTTGGCATTTAGCAACTGGCATACGGTTTAATGTGAAGTCAACAACAACAACAACAACATCATATTGGTTTTATATTCATGTAGAGTATGAGACATCAAGTGAAGTTTTTCTGAGGTACATCTGCAATTGTCGGAAGGCAAACAAAATAATAATGAACAAAAATGAAAACAGCGAGGACAATAAGGGGCCAGGCCGAAAATAACAAGAAACAAGAGACAGGAAAAGGCACACGGCGGAGAGACCACCAACGAACAAGCAAACACGCAAATATGGCCACCAATCAGCGATACATTGTAATGGTATGTCATCACTAGTGGGGGGTTGGTGCAATGGTGCAGCGTTGGGCTGGGGGAATTGGCCAACGAAAATTCAATCCGGCACGTATCGCACCACTCGGTCCGTCTATTTATTCTCGTTTGCTTTCTTCCCTCGCCCTCTCGTCCGTCTCTTGTCCGCCTTCCGCCCCATTGGTTGTTGGCTTGTGGTTTCGTTTGAGCGCCCGTTGTCGGCTGGCTCCTTCTTCCTTCTCGTGCCAGGAGGTCATGACCTCTCAGCTCTCTGCAGTACCGCCGCATGCCGGGGTACTCCCCCCTCCACCTTCGCGGCTTCCGTACACTTTAACTTCGGTGCCGTGTCTTTTGGTACCGGGATTATGAGACAACATGGATCGGTTTTCGTAGAAAAGTGGTCGGCCCCGAATGCCTTCAGGTCGTTGACCACACACTTCGGCCAGTTCTGTTCCTGTCCCCCCCTACGTCGCTTCTCCCCCCCCGCCAGTTTGCCGAGCATCAGTCGTTTTGGGAGTCGCCCGTCCGGCTGCCTTGCCAATGCTCCCGCGAATAATAGCAGGCTTCATGACGATACATGAACGCAGAGATGCTGAGCTGCTCCAGTACTCCGTACGAACGGATGCTGAGCTGCCTCAGCACTCTGTACGTTACGAAAGTATTGGAGGTTACAGCCGTCAGATTCGATGAACATGGACGGAGGCTTTATCACCGCCGACAAATCGAGCAAGACAGAGAGACAAAAGCGTACAGAACGGGCCCGCAATCAAGAACAATTCTGCCGAGAAAAAAAAACTCAAATGTTTACGAAAAATAGACTACAGGAAAAGAGCTATACAAGAAACACAGCTCAATCTCGGCCACAACACAACAAACGCCTCGATAAGAAACGTGATCGTGCGATACCCTCAAGAAAAAACAAGGGGGTAGCTGCGGGAGCGTGTCCAACAAGAAATGTCCCAGTGCCGCTGCTGCTACCATGCTCCCACCCCCTGCCGATAGCTCATGTCATGTAATTCTTTGGGAGGGGGGACGACAGTGGTTATATTGCGCCCCCCGCGCCCTAGCGCCGCGGTGGACTGTGCTACCCACTGCTTCTGTACTGCTGTACTGCCACAACCGCCAACGTTGGCTACACCAAGCTGTCGATGTAGTGCCCATGAAGGCTTGGTGAGTTATTGTTTTCCTCGCCAGAAACGAGAATATAGTCGATTCAGCAACATTCGACAGCCTCAAGGAACAAGAGATCCTTACAGTGAAATTGGCTGATTTGGGCTGGTCTTTCCGCCTAAATTGGAAATTGAGGTTCGATCTGAATTGGATGTTTCTCATCTCCGGGCCCGTTCTGTGTGTAGAAAAGAGACAATACAGAAGGCACAAACGGGCTGCAGCAGTGTTGTTATTTCAGGTTCGTACATCAAACACTGAACGTGTAAGATGCAATGAATGTTCTAGGTTCAAAGGGATACAATTATGGTGTTACTATGTAACGACTTCTACGTGAATTCGGACCACTATGAGGGCAACAGAAGGGGACTGGTCACAGTCCAGCAGTGTGAATTGATTGTACTCATGCACACCGTTTATCTACTTCGTGAAGTAGCAGCATTTTCAATTCAATAATCGAAAAACATGAAGACAAGCATCAGGGTCACACGAACCAAGACATTTAATATTATTACATCAATGATGAGGCACAATGTCCAATACGAATCGTTTACTTCCTGTCCTTCCATTTTTGTCACCCCCGAGCCTTCTTCGTGCAATATTGGTCCTCGCCGGGAAGCGGGGTGTGGATATTTTCTTCGGGGCGCCCCCCGTGCTCCAGCGCCACCGGCGGGCTGCCTCTATTGCCCATCTATGCTGTCCTCCTTCCTACACATTGCGATTCACCGCCACATGCTGTCTGCTCTCCCCGGGCTTGAACACATGGAATGGGCTGTGTTCAGAGATCAACAGGAGCAAGGGCATCTTCTCCGCGGTACCGCAACAAAGGAATACTCCTCGAAGTCACACACGCAGACCCGCAAGCACAGGTACACTTGCGGAACGGCAGCGCGCCCAGCGATGGAACCGCAGCCCAAGCATCCGAGGCGCGAAAGCGTCAGCACTACGCTCGTCCGGGACACGTGCCCTTTGACGAACGCAGCTTTAAACTTACCACATTAGCCGTGGAAAGCGTTGGTCGCCTTGGAGAGGAGGGTTACGAGTTCATCGATGAACTTGCGACACATGCCGTGGGAGGAAGGGACGGAGGAACGATGGCTCTGAAAGGAGTCTTCAAGGAACGACTTCTTCAGATCGTTTCGGGGGCTACACAAGGCGCCATATCTCGGCGAGCGCAGAGGTACAAGCTCGCATTGCGAGGGCGTCAAGACGCCGAAAACAGGCGAACAAGATCGACCTCGAACCAGTCAACGCCAACAATATGGGGATGGAGTGTAGACGCATCGTAGAACGCGTTTTCGCTTGAAGTTGGCGTCTTGTTTCAGAGTAGATGTGACAGATTTGCGTAGAATAGGGTAAGATGTTATCATGAACGGAGAAGAAAGGGCTTTTCCAACACGGAGATGAAGCATGGATCAAAGTATTTGTTGGATTTCAGCTTTTACAAGAGGACATCAACGCAGTAGTATTTTAGCAAGCTTACGAACACGACCTTTTTTTTTTTTGTTGCCTTCCGACAATTGCAGATGTACCTCAGAAAACTTTCACTTAATGTCTCATACTCTACACGAGTATTTAACCAATACGAAGAACAACAACATGTTGTTGTTGTTGTCTTCACATTAAAAACCATCCCGGTCTCTCTATCCAGTACCTCCTTCTGTCTCAATCTCTCCGTACTAATCCATCACTTGACTCGGCCAATTTCCGTGGTCACAGGCTAACGTACCTAGAAAAGGTATACCAAAATAAAATGGACCCCAAGGGTCAGCAGAGCGATAAAATACAAGAAAACAAAATATAATCAGAAACAAATAAAATAAAATAAAATAAATAATTAGACTAGTGGAACGGCCGCACCACCAGCCTGGGGGGGTAGCCTCCCACTACATGGAGGCAGGTCGACGGCCAAAGGAAGGGGCGGGGGTACGTGCCAGTAAAATACAAAACAAAAGACAAAATAAAACAGAATAAAGCAAAGACGAGGACACAAACAAACTCGCACAGAGACAGGGATATCCCTAGAGACAGTCTGAACGCGACAGCAAACGGGGGAGAGGGCAACAGAAAAATTAGTCGTTGAAATTCGACCGCAACATGTCACGTCACGCGGTCGGTCTCTTCTCGCTTGCTTTCTTCCCGCCGCGCCGTTTCCTTCCGCCCCCCTACCGCCCCGTTGATTGGTGCCGTATCTAGACTATTTTTGGGCCCGCTGTCTCCTCGTTTGATGGCTCGTTGTCGGCTGGCCTCCTCCTTGCCCTTGTGCCAAGAGGCCATGAACCTCTCAGCTCCCTGTAGCACCCCCGCGTGCCACGGTACCCCCCCCTCCACCTTCGCCGCCTCACTCCAGACTAACTTCGGGACTCCGAAGACGCTCGGCTTGTCGGTCGTGGAGCCGTACCTGGCTTCGAACATCTTCATGTCGTCCTTCAGGCATGTCAGCCAGTTCTGCTCCGGGTTTCCCTGGCCCGGGTCCTCCCCTCCCACCAACTCGCCGAACATCAGCCGTTTCGGAAGCCGCCCGTCCGGCTGTCTTGCCACGGCCCCCGCAAAGAGCAGGCGCCGTTGACGGACAGTGGCCTCCACGCTCTGGCAGCCGACCCTCTTTAGCGCCTGGGCGTATGACAGCTGCCGGTAGGTGCCTCGTTTGCGCCGGTAGCCGATGACTCGCAGGAGTAGCCGGTGGTGTGTCGTCTGCAGCATTCCGTAGTGGTTGCGGCGTGGGGACCATGTCATGCAGCCGTATAGCAGTGCCTCCACTGCCTCCGCCTGGAGCAGGCGGGCTTTGAGGCGAAACGGTGCTCCCGGTCGGTCGAAGAGCTCCGTGGCGTATCGCTTAATGCACGCCCACGCTGCTTTGCTCCTGTGGTTGATCTCTCGGGTAAGGTCGCCCTGCTCGTTGACGAGGCCGCCCAGGTATCGGAACTCGGTCGTCTGTGCGTACCTTTGCCCCGCTGCTTCGATGGTCAGCACCGGCGGTGGCGGCGGCGGCGGTCGCTGTCTCTCCTTCACCCGCATCACCAGGGTCTCCGTCTTCCTCTCCGACACCGTCAGCCCGAACTCCCGGAACACCTCCACGATAATGGTCATCATCCTCGCCAGGCCGTCGGCGGACTTCGACACAACGCCGGCATCGTCGGCATATAGCATCCCCCACACCGCCCTCCGGACTCGGTCCAGCAATCCCTCCCCCCTCCGTTCCTCCTCCTTCAAGTACACTAGGTCCCGCACGATAACCTCATCTTGGCTGAACCGTGTGACAATGATCTCGAGAGGCGCTGCGAAGAAGACGTTGAACAGCAGTGGGGACATTGAGCACCCTTGTCGTAATCCCTGCGTGACCGGGAACCAGTCCGATAGCTCCCCATCGTCCGTGCGGACCCGGGCCCACATGTGTAGGACTTATTTCTACTGTCACTTCATCGTAAAAATATCTCCTCTTCAATTTGAAATAAAACCAATGACAATCCTCATGGTATCCTACATGTATGTGTTCAGAGTCGACCTCGACAACAACTTGCTCTCCTCATGAACAACTGGGCCAGACAGATCGATACAGTTTTTGGCTTGCCCGTCGTGCGTCTGCATGGAAAAACCTCGAGTTCATTGCGGTTTTATTGTGTTTTGGTGCATCGTTTCGTCCTCTGCTGTATAATGTTAAAACAGTGGGAAATATTGTTGGCAAACATGGGAATTCCCTTCCCGTGCTCCGACAAAAGTGGGTATTCGAAATATTGCTTTGGAAAGCCACTTCGCGCCAGGTTCGAATCACTATTATTAACCTCTTCCGACTCCTCGACAACATTCGCAGGGCCCATACACAGCAAGAACACCAACTACTATGAATTTCATGGCACGTTTTTATCCCATACACCGCCGCGGCGAACAAGGCCTCAACAAGTTGCCCGATGTTGTCAGAAAGTTCGGTGAGTGCACCGACCGAAACCTACTTATTTTCATGTACCCACGTTAGACTTTTTTTCATTTGACACGTTCCCCCGTGATATGCAGGTCGATTTTCGAATGAAAAATAGCCCAACAAAAGTATAGGTACATTTCGAACAAAACTGCTGTACCCGAAGTACAAGGCAACGATAAGTACTAAAAAACGTCACAGGTTTCGGTGGGAACACCCACCGGAATGTCGGGCAAACGTGCTGAGGCCTCACAGAATGTGGCGTCCTGCAGCAGCGGAGGTGGCGGTGCTGCTGTCGCTCGAAGACTTGTAGTCTACCACAGAGGTAACACTGCTGTCACCGCTCTATCACAGAGGTTGGTCTACACTGCCGTGAGATCGGTAGGCCCGAGCGAGCTNTCTTTCTGTATTATGCCTATGGAAGGCTTGTTGCCGCAGTCGCCCCTATGGTAAACTGTGCCTGACTACGTTGTAACAGTTTTCCTCGACAAGGCCTTGTGCACCGCGGTGGCATGTGGGGTGAAGACGTGCCTGAAAGTCCATAGAAACTGATGTTTGTGCTGTCCATGATGGCCCTTGCCCAGGCATTGGAACAGGATTGGGAGTATTTCGGTCCTGTCACGAGTGTTTCAAAGGATTTTATTTGATTATCCACTCTTGTCTGAGAATGGATGGGTAAGCCCACTTCCATCTGTTTCCCTGCGATGTTCGTGCGGGGTAATCACCCCAATGAACCAGGGAGGTCGCAATCGGTTCCAGGATTTTCTTTTGCATGTCTTTGTGTGTTCGGCCAATACGACCATACTCTGTTCCATGTTCTCTCCGCGTGATGGGATTCGCAAGGTGGAGCGTGACCGACCACTGGCTGTGTTTAGGTTAGCTGCTGCGATTCTGGCCGATTCCTTTTATATCCTTCCTGGCTGCTCTCTCAGTCGCTCGCTACCGCTCACTCCCAGATAACGAAATATAGGAGCGCATAGAGACCACTTGTTGCTGCTATCGAATATCGTTCCCCAAATTGCCAAATGTCGGAATACCAGGAATGAATCTAGGCAGGAGGTGGTCGACGTATTTGCAACATCAATTCCCGTCTGGATGGGACCTTTGTCCAAGTTTCAAATACCTCGAAACCAGCCCAACGTATGCGCAGAGAATATAACCTACAGAAGAAGGGGAAACTGCAACCGTCTTTGAAGGATCATCTTATGGAATTGAGAATGCGGATCCTGACGAACCTTCCCCATACCTCTTCAAATATCTCAAGAGAGCTGAGCGCTCGGCTAGCCAAGGGCAGAATCGAGCCAAGTGTCCGACCGACGACGCCAAGTGTGACGAGATCACGCAGTGTGGAGCGTATCCGACTGTTTGCAGCTTAGTTGCAACGTGCCAGACCGATTCCTTTTTTTATCCTTCCCGTCTCTCTTAGTCGCTCGGTATTGCTCACTCCCAGGCGATACCGACCAAGAGGGGACGCATACCACCACTAGTTGCGGCTACAGACTATCGTCTGAAAAATTGCCTGATATAGGAACACCAGGAATCTAGGCAGGTGATCGACGTATTCTAGAAGATTCCGACATCCCGAAGGTGAGCCTGGGTGTCGCGCGATGTTCACCATTTCTGGGCGGTCTCCAGCCCGACCCAGATGAGTCAAACAAGAGGCAGCGAGCGTGTCAGCGTAACGCATGGACGTTTTATCCCCCGGGGATCCCTGGATATTTTTCATCCCACCACAAATACAAATTTCAGTTGGCACATTAACACGAGTATCATGCAGCCATGCATGCATACCGCAGGTTACACAAGATACAGCACCTGTTCGATAATATTGATACGTAGAGATTATTAGTGGTACACATGCCGGCGGGTGGCGCGGTATGTTTCTTTTTCTCGGGTGTCTAATATATTGTGCAAATGACCCGTGCGATCACGTGAACTTCACGCATCGGACAGGGTGTGCAGTAACATTCAGTCGTGTGCTCAGGTTCACTCAACTGGACCCGAACACAACACAGGGGTTATGAGTGGCTTTTCGGTTGCAGACGGCGTTGTGTGTGCCTCGGTGGAGCTTAGTTAGGAGGAATGCGCAGAGGGCAGGGACTGAGCAAGCCTCAGCAATGGATCCCAATGTGCGGGTTTCAGCAGCACGCGTCGTGCCGTGCACGGCTGCTGAGATTTCATCAATGTTATAGAGCAGAATGACGTGATTAAGCGTGGAACCACCGCTCGCGTGTGACCCACTTGAGTAGAGCCGCGGTGCTCTCAGCAGGGGCATGTCCTGCATCCACGTCCACGGCATTGCCAGTCCCAATGGCTGTGGTGCACAAGTTGTAAAGCATATTGCAGTCCATACTCACTCACGGTTCTGTCATAATCTTGTCCAGTTTAGGCGATGATCTTGTATTACGGACTGTGCGATCAATTGGCGCCTTTTCCGACCATCCAAATTCTACAACACACGGCCCAAGGGTGCACGTAGGCGTTATCCCACGCAATATTTGCTGTTGGCGCCTTCCTCTTGGGTATTTCCGGCTGGTGCGGCAATGATGCACCGAGAAGCCAGTTAAGACGAAAACACAGGCCACATGTGTACGAGCGCGCGCCTGCCGTGCGAGCCCCATGACTTGAAACCCTGCTCTAGCTACATTGTTATGCTGCTCTTGGGCTCACGCATTTGGATCGCCAGCTGAATAATTGGAAAAGTCCTGCGAATAGACGAAGAACACACACCACCGGAAGGACCCCATGGTCTTGGGGAATGAATGGTCTGTTTCTCTTTTTCTTTCGGCTGATGTGCCATTCGAAGGTTTAGCTAGGATTGTCACACTTGACATCGACATCCCATGCAAATCTGCCTTCCTCTTGTATTTTTTTTAATCAACCTTGGCAGGTGCAATACAGGGGTGGACGTCGGTTGCACTAACCCCTCAAGGGGAAAGGGAGGATTCAAAAGGAGGAGCGAATTCTGGACCCATTCTCAACGGTGACGTAAACCCAACATTGGTGAGCAACCACATCGCGCGTCCCCGACCCACACGTGTGTTATCCTTGGTCTACAACAGAAACCATGAGAAGAACGAGCACAGGCGAAGCGCCGTGTGCTTCTCGGATTTCAATACCTTCACCATGAATGTTTGATCACGTTCTTTTTGGTTGTTGGTCGACAGTTTCCACGGGTTTTTCACCTTGTTGATGCTGTCCCCAAGGGTGCACGGTAGAATAACATCCGTTCATTTCGGAAGAATGGCGTACAGTATGTAGCACTAGCACATGTGTAGGGTGCACAAACGTTTTCTTGTACACTTGGGCACAAACAGTACCCATTGTTTTTTTCGTAGATTTTCAGGGGCTGGGGGTTGCCGGATATCAAATCCCAATACAAGCAATGGGGACCCTGGTTTCCTCTAGGTACCCTGTGCGCGAGCTAGGATCCTCTCTTGCGAACCCCCGAGCCCCGTGATTACCTGTAATTACACGAAATGGGTTCGAAGCAAGTCCAGAGGACACTTGGCACGCTCAAAAGTATGGATAGAAAGATTGGTGTCAAATACCCAACTTGGAGAGGTGTTCAAATCACGACACCCTGTACTGCAATGCTCTGTTGGAACACGAGAGCTGAAGCGTCTCGAGTTACACCGGTTTCATC